GAACTACTAAATATGTCTCTTTTTGCCTCTATGCTAGTTGGTTTCAGGGTCATCAAATAATCATAAATCAAAGATAAGTTTTTACCTTTGACTCCCTCACGTTCATAAACAGCCATTTCCTTTTTTAATAACTTATCATAACCCTTCTCAATACTAGTTTCTTTTCGTTTCATGAAGTTTTCTTTCTCACGCTTTAGTTGGATCTCGGATTCTTGTTCCAATGTGAAATTCAGCGAATGAATGCGGGTTATCTGGATCATCATTTTCCGTTTCCGTAATATCCTCAGCCATTTCTGCTGGTTCCACTACATATGTATTTACTCGATTCAGCATATTTTTCATCTGGCGAATTACATTTTATTCGGTATTGTGAAAGAATTATCGTGCTTTCTAACTTTTTGGTTATACTTCTTCGAGTTCTGTATGTAAATCAGCATCCCTGTGACCTCAATAAGACACCGTTTTCTAATTCTTTTGCAGAGTGCCTTGGAAAGGTCAGCACTCAAGATTGTGTCCTGGATTTTTAGTTTGTGTAAGATAAATTTCAGGGTTGTGTCAGCAGGTATCAAACTCGACTCTCTTCTACAGAGAGTTTTTACGGCCAGTTTATAGGTTAGGTTTCGTGGACAAGGCGCAAGGCTACAGCTCTCCATAGGCTTAAACTGAGATCGTTCCGTCATGTGATTCATTGACATCACAACCGACCATAAATTAGAATTATGCACCAGGACTAGGGGAGGAGTTGCTTATTTTATTTAGTGCAAAGACACTTTATTTAGCGAGAGTGGAAAGTCAACTGGCAATTAGATCAGCAGAGGTAAAAGGACAGGCAGTGCGGTGTAGAGAGGGGGTGTAGCATGTGCCACACTGAACGGCAACGTCGCCCTCGTCGCCAAGCAATAGCACACGTAGAAACGTGGCAACATCGACAATGTAGACTTTTGTGCCATTATTTAGAAAGTTAATTGAGTATTTGCGGATCCTCAGCGCTGGATCCAGCACCTGATGCTGGATCCAGCTGGATTGCTGGATGAGGGATCTAGCAATTGCAATCCCTAGTTGTGACATGTCAGTTAGGAAAAAATTTGCCTTTTACATTTTCTGTAAGTGAAGAATGATTGAACCTGGCATGTGTCTCAAATTAAAAGTTTAAGACAGCACTGTATTGAAAAACACAGCTATGAAGAATGTGAAGAACAGCTAACGTTTAATGATATGTCAGGTAAGTTTTAACTGTTAAACCATAATTTTAGTGTTTTTAAAGTAGTTCTCAGTATAGCCAATTCTTAAATTAATGGTATATCTGAAACATGTAATGTTAAAAGTGTATTTAAATTAACAGATAAAGTTTTGTAGTATGACAAATATTAAGATTAAACACTGTATAACAATGAATAGAATACTAGTTTTTTGGTAGAAGTTACTTTTAGTTAATTTATATCTAATATTTCGTTTTTAGGTGGTTTGGATTTTTACAAGTTGTGTTTTATGTGTAGTTGCAAGACTTAGTGTAAATTACAGTTCTTACTTGTTTTCCTAAAAGTAAACTTTGTGGAGTGTCTTTGTTTAATTGGAAGAAATAATAATAGCAATTACAATAAGCTGTTTAAGTTACAAAAAAAGGTATAAAAGTATATTGTACTTTTTCTCACTAGAATTTTTTGTCTGGAAAGATAAAGAAGAGAAGTTGGTAAAATCATCTTTTGTATCACGTAATGGTCCAACAACACTTTCTGATGGCAGAATTAAAAAAATCTATACATGTCATCAATCAGGAATTTATGTTCCAAAAGGATGTGGGAAACGTCAAATAAAATCACAGGGATCTTGCAAAAGTGGAAAGATATGTCTTGCTTCTATTGAGGTGTCTATTAGATCAAATTCAATAAGAGTTAAATACCATAAAAACCACTGTGGACACAATCTCAGTCTTGCACACATCCATTTGTCTGATAGTGAAAAAGCAGTTATTGCAAGTAAATTGTATTTTACTGGTTGATTTGGAAAAAGTAATAAATTATTAATTATCAATACTTTACTTTTTAGGAAAACTTGCTAATGGTGTCACCCTGCAGAGAATCTTAGATGATATTCGAGATTCTGCAAGTAATGAACTTACTCGCATTCATCTTGTGACAAGAAAAGATTTGCAAAATATCAAGTTTGCATACAACATTCAGGAAATGAAGAAACATCATCCTGAAGATAAGATCAGTGTGCAGCTATGGGTGGATAAAATGAAAACATTAGAACAGTCTCCAGTTTTATATTTTAAACAGCAAGGGGAAGTTGATGCTCAACAGAAACTTGGCAAAGATTTTATTTTGATAATCATGTTACCAATACAACAAGAATTATTAAAGATGCTAGGACACCAGCTGATCTGTGTGGACTCCACTCATGGCACTACTGCATATGATTTTTATGTTAGTACTATATTAACAGTTGATGAATTTGGAAGTGGTCTACCATGTGCATACTGCTTAAGCAATTGAATAGACACAACCACATATTCTTTGTTTTTTGCTGCTGTCAGAGAAAAGCTTGGAAAACTGGAAACTATTGTTTTTATGTCTGATGATGCATCTGCAATTTACAATGCATGGAAAGATACTATGGGGTCCTGCTACACATCAGTTATTATGCACATGGCATGTAGATAGGGCCTGGCATAAAAAAATTATCTCATCTTTCCCTGATAAGGTTACACAAGCACTTACATACAAGATGCTACGAGTTCTTGAAGAACCAAATCCAGAAAAATTTGAAAATCTGATAGAGGAATTCATTCAATCATTAAACAAAAAAGAAACTGAAGAATTTCAAAAGTATTTTGTTCATACTTATGTTTCCCATCCTAAAGTGTGGGCATACTGTTATAGAAAGGGTCTTGGCATAAACACAAACATGTATTTGGAGGCCATGCATAGAGTTTTAAAACATTGTTATTTGGAAGGTAAAGTGAACAAGAGGGTGGACCATTGTATTGATGTGTTGTTAAAGATGACTCGTGACAAATTGTTTGAACGCATCATAAAGATGTGCAAGGGGGACTATTTCACACAGGCAAGCAAAAATACATAAAAGTCACAAAGAAAGTGAAGCAATAGCATTTTGTGATATTACCAAAGTCATTGACAGTATACAATGGCAAGTAAAATCACAAAGCATAACAAATTCTATATATGTGGTGGAGAAAAAATGAGAACATTGAAGACCATACTAGATGCAAGTTGTTATGTAATAAATGCAATGTGTGCGTGCATGTGTATTCATGTACATGTCCGGATTACGAAGTGAGTTTAAACATGTGTAAGCACATTCATGCGGTAATCAAAATAGAAAAAGAAACCTCTAACAGAAATGCAGCAAATGAATTATCTTGTGACATTTTGGCCGATGATCCAAATACACTTTTTAAGAGTGTAGAAAATTACCGTCTATGCATAAGTAAGGAAACTAAAACTATTGATCAATCATCTGAATATTGTGAATTGGAAAAAAAATGTANGAATATAATGCGTCGTTGAATAATATTTTCCGACGCATCGGAAAGGCCCAGAACAAAAGAATCATATATAAAAGAACCCGCACCACGTACCAACTACTGCGATCTGATAAAGATTTAGTGGACAGAAGAACACTCCCCGGGGTATATAAAATTCCAGTTACGGACTCAAGGCGACGAAGTAAATTAATATATGTAGGGGCAACAGGAAGAAGTATCAAAGACAGGTTAGCAGAACATCAAGCAAATATAAGAAAAAAACAACCTTGCACTGCGCTAGCCACCTACGTTCTAGCGGACCAGCAAGACGTCAATGTTGAATGGGACCAAGCAAGACTAATGCAGATAGTCCGAGACAGGAGACACCAACATTACGCGGAAGCCTGGCAGATTTGTAAGGCAAAGCATAAAGGCCTTGCAGTCAACTTCCGGGAATCAACTAAAATATCGGCAGCATGGTCCTCTAGCTTAATATAAAATTAATAATTGAAGAAAGTAGTTATTATGTATCTCAGGTTATATATTTTTTGAATGATGTAGGGAGATGGCAACTATAAGTATTTATATTTAGATAGTTATGTAATCTTTTTATATTTCCGTTTACACTGACGTCATTTGCAACGGATTATAAGCCAGTTCGAAAGATTCGAAAAAAAGAGTTATTTGTACTAAGCGTTCGATTTACGATTTTGTTGTTTATTTTGTTACTTATTTAATTTTATTTTCTTGAGAAAGGTCTTTTAACAAGACCGAAAACGTTTGAAAGTTTTTCTAATAAACGTCGGCTGCAAGAAAAGGTGTTTTAGTAAGTGTTTTGATATTACAATATGCAGTCTAGAACAAATTTTATATTACTCATGGATTTCAATGTTAAACCAGTGATATACATGTTGTCGGCAAAGTTTGAAATCCATATATAATGCCTAAAACTAGCCGGCAATCTATGAAATGATTCATATTTTACAAATTTCCTAGGCATTCTATAGAATGCCAAATGAGAAACCGGCAAAGTATGAAATATATCTCCAATTCGTTTTCAATATCATGTGGCAAGGCACATGACTTTTAACGTGCGCCTCAGGCTTAGAATTTGTCAGTTGCACTTTGCGGTTTGTTCGGGAGTGTCAAAATATGCAATTTTACTTAATTAAATTTGTTCAACAAAAAAAGTTTTTTACCGTGCTCCATGAAAATGGAGGAGCAAGCTGTAGTGTTGGAGAAGGTTTCATGTTCTATAGACATGAAACAATGATTCGACGATAAACTGTCCAAAATTCGAGTTAATGCTGCAAAAAACAGTATTTTCTTAACCGAAACTACTTACCAGAAGTTAACAAATGATGTACAAAAAACCAAAATGACTACTAAGAAGGAACCCAGGGACTATTGGTTGGTGAATCGCTATGATGTGATGATTGTAGAAAACAAAAATAAGCTCATTTATCCTGTTAAAGAAGTCATCAGTTCTATACAGTATTACGTCATGGACTCAGTTATTTCACGTACTTCGTGAAGCTCGTTTGGCTATTGGACACTGAGGACGTGATAGAATAACGTTACACGTCATGATATTGAACTGTACATCCACCTTTGTGAACCTTGTCAGAAAAAACAAAGGTATTCAAAAGGACATTGTTGTGAAATCTGTGATTTTTTCATAATTTAATTCCCGTTGTCAGGTAGATCTTATTGACTTTCAGTCTCAGCCAGATAGAGAACACAAATTTATTATGGTGTACCAAGATCATATCACAAAATTTGTGATTCTTAAGTCTTTAACGTCAAAAAGAGCTGAAGAAGTAGCCTTCAACCTAGTGGACATATTCTCGTTGCTTGGAGCGCCATCTATATTAGTCTGACAATGGTAGGGAATTTGCCAATAATGTGGTGAACAGCTTGAAGGAGTTTTGGCCAGCACTGAAGATTGCCCATGGGAAGCCTTGCCATTCACAAAGCCAGGGTGGTGTCGTAAGAGCTAATCAAGATATCGAAAATATGCTCTGTACTTGGATACAGGACAACAAATCTGACCGCTGGAGTGAAGGACTACGTTTCGTTCAATTTATGAAAAATAGAGCTTATCATTCTGGGATCAAAAGAACACCATACGAAGCTCTTTTTGGCTGCAAACCTAAAGTAGGGCTTTCTTTTCTACCAGAATTAAAAGACATAAATACAGAGGAGCAGCTAGAAAAAGTAATAGAAAGCGTCAAAACAATGGAAAAAGGTGAAACTAATCAGATTACGCAAGATGAGATTATAGTCGTTAGTGGAGTAAACCAACACGATGAAGACATGCTTACTGAAGAGATTTCCGTTTCTGATACCTGTTGTGTGTGTTTAAAGGAAACAAGTGATGCACTTGCATGCAAAAAATGTCGTCAAAAAATTCATACCTTCTGTGGCCATGCTAGTAAAGATGATGAAATGGATATTTTGTGCACCCTTTGTTTCAAAACTGAAAATGCTATTGAAGGTAAAATAAATTCTAAAATCAATCTGGAAATACAAGCCAAAAAATGAAAATAAATTCGGAAAAAAAATTTCCCACTGCTTCTTTGGGAACTACTGTGCGAGTTCCTATTCCTGACGTCGACAAGGGGCGAGGTGATTCGCGCAATATATTGGCAATTGTAATGAGTGTGACAGAGGATGGTTTCTACCGACTTGGAACTTCTGAAGGAATTTTAAAACAAGTATATGCGAGATCACAATTCACTCCATGCCCCAAGAACTTGCTTAGAATTGAAGATATTCCTGACCATGAAATTCCTCTCTGGTCAGTTGCAATTGCTCAGTCCAGTGGAAGCGGCCAAGGATTCGTCAAATGTATGTGTAAAACAAAGTGCCAAAATATGAAATGTCTTTGCGTGAAAAATGTAATGAAATGTAATTCAAAATGTCATTTGAGCCTACCATGTTGCAACAAGTAGGTTAATTTTAATTTCTTATTTTTTATATGAAAATTTTGTTTCCCTTAATAAGAAAGGCATAAATTTTTTGTACAACTTTCATTTTTCTTTATGTATTTTGAATAAATTTTTTTATGGCACTCTCATTATTTTTTCAGAACAACATTTGTATTTTTGAAGAATGCACGTCATTTATATAATAGCCTTATCAGGACCTTTTTTCATACTTTGCCTAAATAGCATTTGTCATTCTATAGAATGCCTAGGGAAAGTATGTAATAATTCTCATATTTCATACATCGCCTAAAAATACCGGGCATTATATACAATGCCTAGGTATTCTATAGAATGCTGGCTTTTCATACTTTGCCGGTAACATATATAATAGTTCTGTATAGTTGACAGGAGTTTAAAAAAATCTATTAAAATATTTGATATTTTTATTCCGCTCTCCAATTTTATATTACTCATGGATTTCAATGTTAAACCGGTGATATTACGATTTCTTATATCCCAATCTTTAAGGGGATGTAGAAAAAAACGTGTACAATTCTTGTATAGTATTAAAAAAGAATTAACTGTTACTTCGACAGCATCATTTACAACTAAATTTAATGAATGAGAGAGATGCATGAGGTACAGAAAAAGAATTTATTTTCCTTAAATTTACGATTTACGTATCCGTTGTCATAAAAATTTGTCTCTCCACTTTTTTCCCAAGACTAGAAAATATTCGAGTACAAAGTAACCGGTTTCGACTTATTTCTACTTAAGTAGTAGTTAAATAATTAAGCGCTTAGGGAATGGGACACAAATAAAACCCTGCTGAAAGAGCCAGAATTTTACTTAAACAAAAGCTTAACTAAGTACAGTGTGGACTGATTTCTTCATAATATTAGACATAATAAAGGTAGAAATTTTTCCAGTTCAATGAAAGTGACTAAAAGTTGTAAATTTTGGAAATTTCCATACACACCTGGTCTTAAAATGAATTAGTTAGAAAACAAATAACTTAAGTTTAACAAATTTAGATTTTTGCAGCTATGGTGAGAAACGTTTAAAATTTACAACAACCCCGTCACGTCCTTTGAGATATACTAGTGATACGACAAAAGAGGCATTTGACATTAACCGGTATCGGCACCCTCGGGATTTGGTAAGCATGCACACACCGCACACCTACCAAGACCGTCTCCGATTCCGTCCACAAGCCACTGGTAGGGAGCAATTTTAACTAGGTGGATTGTTTTAATATTTATAAAGTAAAGACTATTTTATGTTATTTTTATGTACGTTTCTTCACAAAACTATATTTATAATTTTCTTTAAAAGTATATTCGTACAATTGAATATTTCGTACCAGGTATGTATAATTGTATATCCATCACACATTTTATTTTAACAAGTAAGTTTTTATAATTTTATTTTTAATTTTAGCCCTTATATTATGGCTAGCAATTTAGAATGTAATTGTGATATTGAAAATTTATTTCAAAAAGTTTTGGCTCGAGACCATATAATGAAAAAGAAAAAATTTGTTCGACATTTTTATCATAAAATTTATGAAGATATAAATTGGCTTCGTGGATGCATAAAAATGCAAAAATTGTTTTGTTGGTCTTGCCTACTATTTTCAAATAAAATTAGTGTGTAGAATGAGATTGGCTTTGACGATTTAAATAATTTGAGTAAAGCTGGCAAAAGACACGAAAATCCTAAATCTCGCATCGATTCTTTCGTAAAATTGAAGCAATTTGGAAATCAAAATAGAATAGAATTTAACATTAGTACACAATATAAA